GAGGGATCAGTTATTGGGTTAAAAGTGGAAATAATTTAGGTGTCATTTCTTAATTGGGTAGTTTAGCCTTAAAAGACCTTGTACAAGAGACAGTTGGCCATTTTGTAGCTTGTGAGTAGAATGCTGCAGAACTCACTACTTGTAATAGAGATAGGAAATAATAAACATCTGACTCTGAACTTGAAATTCCATCTCAAGAGCTTCAATCCCGACCTTGACAGAGGAAGAAAAAAGCAGCTGAGAACCAGCAGAGAGGATTGTTGGTGATTGGAGCATTTCTACCTGCCTGAGCTCACCCTCTGTCCCACGGGCTGTACATGAGCTTTGCCCAAGCTGGCATTTCAGAATGGCTTTGGCACCTCCACTTGGTGTGAAAATCCCTTTTTTGGCTTTCCATGCCTGAGCTCTGGAGCCCTTTGGCTGCACAGAGCTCCTGACTGTGGCCATGCTCTGACCTTGTGCTCTCAGGCTGTCACTTCAAACCACAGGGCTGGGAGGGATGTCCAGGGCTTGTGCCACCATCCTGTGCCCTGCAGGGTCATTGATGGTGCCACCAGTCCCATCTGCCCCTAAAACCTGCCCTGGAGCAGCACTACAGTGTCCTCCAGGGGGAACTCCTCCGGTGCCAGCCTTGGGGAGTTTGGTGCCCCAAATTCTCACCTAACTATTCCCTGCTGTGTTTCAGGCCCAGCAGTTCTTGATTCTCTCCCCTTGGTAGCAGCAGTGGGATAATCCCTTCCTCTTGCAGCTGCATTTCTGGTGTTGGCAGAAATGGGGCAGAGCATGACCCCTGCTCTCCACACTGTTCCCAGGTGGAAATCACCCCGTTTCTTTCACATTTTCACATCATTCCTGTTGATTTTTACAAAACCATCACAAATGCTCCCACTCCTGGTTGGAAAGCAGGGCTTTCCCAGCAGGAAAATCCCCAGGAGAGCTGGGCTGAAGGAGAACAAATCCCCTTTGTCTCTGCCTCCCTATGACCTGTTTCTCTTGGAACAATCCCATTGTTAGCTCCACTCAGGCCTCTCCTCAGGGAGGGTGTCAGAGTTTCACCAAAATCCCTCCTTCTGTCCCACATTGTGCCCCTCACACCTGCAGGCTCTCGTATTCCAGCTGAGCATGGAGCTGCTGTGGTGGCATTTGGTGGCATTTGGTGGCATTTGGTGGCATTTGCTTTGGACCAGCCCACCTCGGTGGTTCACGTGTTCCCCTGCCAGGATTTTCAGGTGATTTTGTTGATCCATTCAGTCCTTTCAGCAGGTGAAGTTAAATTGAGCAGAGAACCCCTCAAGTTCCCCTTTCCTCATTTTAAAGATTCCTCACGTTTGTCCTGTTCTGTTTATCAGGTGTCCTGTTTGAACACTCAGCCTCTTCTCTGTGAGATCCCAGACCCCTCACTGCCAGCTCTGAGGCCACTTTACCAAATTCCCTCTGGGAGTTAAATCTGACCTGGCTGATGTGGGGACATCCAGTGCCTTTGAGGGACCTTTCCTCTTTCCTTTTCTTGCCTCAGTCCCTTTTCAGTGGCATTTACTGTGACTCACCTGATCAAAGTGACCTTTTCCATGAGAAACAGAACAAATCTCTGCCTGCCTGGAATCACAGACTCCTGAGCCCCACCACGTCCCCAGCACTGCCAAGGCCACCAGTGCCCCTTGTCCCCAAGTGCCACATCCACAGGGCTTTTAACTCCCTCTGCTGTGGACAGCCTCAGAGCTGGGAATTAAACTGCCAGAGGGCAGGGCTGGATGGGATCTTGGGAATGGGGAATTGTGCCCTGGCAGGGTGGGCAGGCCCTGGCACAGGGTGCCCAGCCTGGATCCCTGGCAGTGCCCAAGGCCAGGCTGGACACTGGCACACCCTGGCACACTGGGAGGTGTCCCTGCCATGGCAGGGCTGGCACTGGGGGGGCTCTGAGGTCCTTTCCAACCCAACCCAACCCATCCCAGCCCATTCTGTGCCTTTGCAATGTTTTCTCAGAGCTGCTTTCATGCCTAAGCCATGGGGATTTCCCATTTGCAGAGCAAGGGGAAATGCAGCAGCCCTTGGAGATGGCCTGGCCCTTCCCCTGTCCAAACTGCAGCTCCTGAGGCAGCGAGGCCCCAGCAGCTCCTGCTCTGGGGCAGCTGGGATGCACCTGGCTGTGCCTGCTCCTCCCTTGCTCTCCCTGGGGGCTGTGCATGTCCCTGCTCCATCTTAGCTCTGCTTTTATCCCCAGGCTCTCCTCTCCTGTCTGTGCAAGAACTGCCTTCCCTCGCTGGGGCCTGGGGGGCTCCTGCCTGGCTCCCCTTTTCCCTCTCCCATTTTCAACCCCCTTTTTCCATCCCTCCCTTTTCCATCTTCCCTTTTCCAGCTCCCCCTTTCCCAGCTCCCTTTTTCCATCCCTCCCTTTTCCATCTCCCCTTTTCCATCTCCCATTTTCAACCCCCCTTTTCCATCCCTCCTTTTCCCAGCTCCCTTTTTCCATCCCTCCCTTTTCCATCTCCCCTTTTCCAGCTCCCTCCTTCCCAACTCCCCTTTCCCAGCTCATTTTCCATCTCCCCTTTTCCATCTCCCCCTTTTCCATCTCCCCTTTTCCATCTTCCCTTTTCCAGCTCCCCCTTTCCCAGCTCCCTTTTTCCATCCCTCCCTTTTCCATCTCCCCTTTTCCATCTCCCTCCTTCCCAACTCCCCTTTCCCAGCTCATTTTCCATCTCCCCTTTTCCATCTTCCCTTTTCCAGCTCCCCCTTTCCCATCTCCCTTTTTTCAGCTCCCTTTTTCCATCTCCCCTTTTCCAGCTCCCCCTTTTCCAACTCTCCTTTTCCAACTCTCCCTTTCCCAGCTCCCCTTTTCCATCCCCCCTTTTCCATCTCTCCCTTTTCCATCTCCCCTTTTCCATCCTTCCCTTTTCCATCTCCCCTTTCCCAAATCTCCCTTTTCCATCCCCCCTTTTTGATCCCCCCCTTTTCCATCTCCCCTTTCCCAGCTCCCTTTTCCATCTCCCCTTTTCCATCTCCCCTTTCCCAACTCTCCCTTTTCCATCTCCCCCTTTTCCATCCCTCTCTTTTCCATCTCCCCTTTCCCAGCTCCCCTTTTCCATCTCCCCTTTTCCATCCCCCCCTTTTCCATCCCCCCTTTTCCATCCTCCCTTTTCCATCCCTCCCTTTTCCATTCCCCCTTTCCCATCCCTCCCATCTCCCATCTCCCCTCTCGCATCCCCCAGCCCAGCTGTGTCCGTGTGATGCCCCAGGCTGTGCTGGGGCCCTTCCCGATGTCCCTGAGCTGGATCTGCCTGGTTTTGTGCCAGCTCCATCTCTCCTGGAACACGAATCTGTGCACAAATCCCGGGGGAAGGAAGGAATCCTCGCTCCTTTCCTTCCTTCCTTCCGTGCCAGCTGCTCGCCGAGGCCGCTCCCGGCCCGGCCGGGCTAAGGAGGCTGCGGAGGCCGGGCAGTGATGCTCATTCCTTTATTTTGTGTCCTTGCCATCCTGGAGGGCGCTCCCAGCGCGGGCTCGAAGCTACATTACAGCACAGTGAGGAGTGTCCATGCCGCCAGGAACGGCCTCTCTCCCGACACTATGTATAATATATATATATTTATAATATGTCCTGTATAGTCCTATGTATAGAGTGACAAGGATGGGCCACCAGACAGTAAACTTTTGATTTCTAAATAAATCACCAGAGCAACAGGCACGAAAATTTGGTCCTAATCGAGGCCCTCACCTTGTCCATGAACCCGCAACAGACCCGCACCCCCCTCCCCGCGGAAAAACGGCCAAACCTGAACCCCAAAAGAACAGTTCAACAACAACGAAAGGAAGCCCCGGCCCCGAGGAGCGGCCCCGCTGGGACACACGGACAGCGAACGGCACCGAGTGCCCGAGCGCTCCCGCCCTGCCGGTGTGCGGGGACAGCCCCGGCAGCGCCGCCGCTGGACGAGGACGGAGGGCTCGGGATGCTCGGGAGCGGCTCTTGGGTGCTGGAAGTGCCTCATGCCATCCCCTGCGCTGGCGATTCCCAGCCTGTGCTCTGCTGGAAGGGCTCCAGATGATCCCAGCATGGCCACAGCTCTGCTGGAAGGGCTCCAGAGGATCCCAGCATGGCCACGGCTCTGCTGGAAGGGCTCCAGAGGATCCCAGCATGGCCACGGCTCTGCTGGAATTCCAGAGGATCCCAGCATGGCCACGGCTCTGCTGGAATTCCAGAGGATCCCAGCATGGCCACAGCCCTGCTGGAAGGGCTCCAGAGGATCCCAGCATGGCCACAGCTCTGCTGGAATTCCAGAGGATCCCAGCATGGCCACGGCTCTGCAGGAATTCCAGAGGATCCCAGCATGGCCACGGCTCTGCTGGAAGGGCTCCAGAGGATCCCAGCATGGCCACAGCTCTGCTGGAATTCCAGAGGATCCCAGCATGGCCACAGCTCTGCTGGAATTCCAGAGGATCCCAGCATGGCCACAGCTCTGCTGGAATTCCAGAGGATCCCAGCATGGCCACGGCTCTGCTGGAATTCCAGAGGATCCCAGCATGGCCACGGCTCTGCTGGAATTCCAGAGGATCCCAGCATGGCCACAGCTCTGCTGGAATTCCAGAGGATCCCAGCATGGCCACAGCTCTGCTGGAATTCCAGAGGATCCCAGCATGGTCACAGCTCTGCTGGAATTCCAGAGGATCCCAGCATGGCCACAGCTCTGCTGGAAGGGCTCCAGAGGATCCCACTGTGACCACAGCTCTGCTGGAAAAGCTTCCAGAGGATCCCACTGTGACCACAGCTGTGTTGGAAAGGCTTCTGGAGGAATCCTTCATGAACACAGCCACCCTTCCTGGGCACAGCCACCCTTCCTGGGCACAGCCACCCTTCTGGGCACAGCCACCCTTCCTGGGGCACAGCCACCCTTCCTGGGATGCTCCATGGCCCTGGGATGAGGACACCCTCAGCTCCTGAGTTGTTTCCCACACCCTGGGTGAGAACAGAGGCCAGAGGAGGTCTCTGGTTCATCACTTTGGAGACTGCTGGAAAACAAGGAAGGGAGGAAATTTTATTCCTGCAGGCCCCCCAAGCTTCGCCTCATTCTGAGTCTGTGCTTCCTGACCCTGACTCCCAGATGCTTTCTAGGAAATAACAAACCAGCTCTCCCAGTCACTGTGTTCCATAGAATCAGGGAATCCCAGACTGGTTTGGGCTGGACTTTAAAGCTCACCCAGTGCCACCTCTGTCACGGCAGGGCCACCTTCCACTGTCCCAGGCTGCTCCCAGCCCTGCCCAGCCTGGCCTTGCCAGGGCTGCGATGGTTTCCCAGGGCCAGCTCGTTCTGGGGGATGCCCTGGGACACCCCTGGCTGTGGGGGGACCTGTGGCCAGCCCTGACCCCACAGCATGGAAGGGACTCCCCCAACACCTTCCCTGCTCCCTCCTGCCAGGCTGAGCACAGCCTGGGCCTGGCTGCTGCCAGGGGAGGGAGCTCAGTCCTCAGAGCAAGGTACAGCCTGCCAAGGTGCCAGGCTGGGGGAGAAGGGGACAGAGGTCCTGGAGGGACAGAACAGGGTGTTGTGGGGCACAGAACAGGGTGTTGTTATGGGGCACAGAACAGGGTGTTGTTATGGGGCACAGAACAGGGGGTTATGGGGCACAGAACAGGGTGTTGTGGGGCACAGAACAGGGTGTTGTTATAGGGCACAGAACAGGGTGTTGTTATGGGGCACAGAACAGGGTGTTGTTATGGGGCACAGAGGGAAAGGGAAGAGGGGAGCAGAGGGCAATCATGGAGAGCTCGAGGCAGGGCAGTGTTACATGGAAGGGCAGGGCAGGGCAGGGATGTGTCAGGACAGCTGGGAGGGGCAGTGGATGGCCCAGCACAGCCACGTGGGGATGGGACACGGCTGCTGAGGGAGCTGAGCTCAGCACAGCTCCTGCTTCCCTCTGGATGTCCCCATTCCAGGCCTGTGCCTTGCTCCCCCCCTTCCCTCACCCCTGTCCAGAGTGCAGGAGCACTGAGGGGAGCAGGGACCAGGCCAACAGCCAAGAACAGCCTGCCCAGAACAGTGCTGGGGTCTCCTTCCCTGGGAGATCCCAAACCCACCTGGCCACATCCCTGAGTAACTGCTCCAGGGTCCCTTCCAACCTCATCCACCCTGTGCAGGAATTCTCTTTGTTTCCAGGGGACATTTTCCACCTGCAATCCTCCCTGTCCAGTCCTTTGCTGACCCAGGAGAGCCAGGGGTCGCTCCCTCATCCATCACAGGGATGTCCCCACCTCCACCATCCCAGGGACACCGGAGCTGCTTCACCAGCTTCCCTCCACCCTCCACAAGTGCTGTCCCTGCAGCTGCTGGGGCAGGAGCCAACCCCCAGAGCCCTGGTGGCTTCCCCCTCTCACCCACCACCATTCCACATCCAGTCCTCCACAACCCACCAGGGAATTTGTCCCAAGCAGGATGTGACAGAGGCGACCTCCGTGTGCCATTGTCCAGGGCACAGCGATGCCATCGCTGCCCTGGGTGTCACCTCCTCGTCCCACATTTCCCTGTCCCTTTAGCTGCAGGTGGAGCCTCTGGCAGCCCGGAGCTCGGCAGGCAGCGCTGCTCGCAGGCTGGGCGTGTCCCTGGAGGGGCTGGAAGTGGGTGGAGATTTCCAGATTTCCAGATTTCCACCGCGGGCCGCGTCAGGAGCTGCACACCCACGGTCAGCGATGGGAGCCTCGGTGGGGCTGTCTCCAGTGTCCCCAGAGTGTCCCCAGCGCGTGGCACGGCTGGACAAAGCCCTGGCCTTTGGGTGACTTGGTCTGGTGACTCTGCAAGCCCCGTGGATGGAGCTGGTGCTCCTGCAGTGCCAGCCGTGCCCACAGTGGGTGAGGTGTCCCTGCTGCCACCAGAGTCGATGCAGGCTGGGGAGTCCCTCTGGGGGACTCTGACAAGGCACTGCCACCACGAAGTCTCCCAATCCACGCAGAAATCTCCAAATTCCCTGGGATCCAGCACGGCAAAGCCAGCACCAGGGGCCAGGGCAGCCTCAGCCTCTGCCACAGCTCCTGCAGAGGGGCCCGTGTCCCTCCTGCTGGGATGGAGCAGTGTCCTGGTGCTACCCCGTGCCCAGCCCTGTGCCAGGCGGTGTGGGCAGGGCTGGGAGCTGGGCAAACCCCGGGGGGGTCAGCACGGTGCCCACTGCCAGCCTGGATGTCCATCAGTCCGAGCACAAATCCTGCCTCCGCTCCATAAATAAATAGGTTAAATAAATAAAGTGACAGATCCGGATCAGGGGGGCGGAGGGAGGGGAGGAGAGAGGGAAGGAGGGAGGGGCAGCCGCCCTGGCCCGGGGCCGTTCGTGTCTCGCACAAACACACACAAAGTAGCTGAGGACAAGGACGAGCTGGGGCCGCTGGGCCGGGCCCCCCTCGGCCCTCGGGGGCTCAGTCCGGGACGAGGCGTCCAGGCGGTCACTCCTGGGCCGGCAGAGGGGCGGCACCCGCGGAGCTGGAGGCCAGGGACACGTGGGTGGTGGAGGAGGGCAGCGACCGCGGCGTCTGGCACCTGGGGACACAGAGACACTGTGGGGCTGCTGCCGTGCCCTGCCATCCCACCCTGCCCAAAATCCAGCCCTTTGCCTGGTCCTTTGCCGTGCAGGCAGCACCTAAGGGCACCCCTTGCTGGCTGGGAGGATACTTTGGGTCTGGGAAATAGGAATATCATGGAATGGTTTGGGTTGGGGAGATCTTACAATTCATCCAGTGCCACCCCTGCCATGGCAGGGACACCTCCCACTGTCCCAGGGTGACCCAGCCCCAATGTCCAGCCTGGCCTTGGGCACTGCCAGGGATCCAGGCTGGGCACCCTGTGCCAGGGCCTGCCCACCCTGCCAGGGCACAATTCCCAATTCCCAAGATCCCATCCAGCCCTGCCCTCTGGCACTGGGAGCCATTCCCTGGCTCCTGTCCCTGCAGGCCTTGTCCCCAGTCCCTCTGCAGCTCTCCTGGAGCCCCTTCAGGCCCTGCCAGGGGCTCTGAGCTCTCCCTGGCTCCTTCTCCCCTCCAGGTGAGCACCCCCAGCTCTCCCAGCCTGGCTCCAGCCCTGGAGCAGCTTTGGGGGCTCCTCTGGGCTCTGTCCAGCAGCCCCAGGTCCCTCCTTCCCAAGCTGCTGTTCCCCAGCACAGCCTCAGCAGCATTTCAATCTCAGCACAGCCGCAGCTCCCGGGCAGGCTCAGCCCTGACGGGACGGGGCCTCTCCCGCTCTGCCTGCCCCAGCGCCCCCCGTCCCCCCCAGCAGGTGCCAGCCGTGTCCCCGCGCCGCTGTCACCCACCAGGAGCGGGATTTGCGCACACGGGAGGCCGCCGGCCGCTCCAGGAGGCTGTCCAGGTGCATCAGGCGCTCCAGGTGCAGCGCCCGCGGGTCCTGCTCCGCCGCGGGGTCCCTGCTGCGCTCAAACTCGAAGATGGCCGGGGGGGACAGGTCCAGCTCCAGGAACATGATGTTCTCAGCCTGCCCAGGGGACAGCCAGCACGGAGTCACCGTGGGGAGGACACGGCCCCGGCTCTGGTGAGCCACGCTGCCGGGGCAGTGGGATCATCTCCTGGCTGCCCTGGCACTGGGCTGTGGGCTCAAGGCTCTGCTCTGGATCTCCCAGCCTGTCCCACAGCTGTCCCCTCCAATGGCAGGAGAGCCAGGAGCTCCAGGACTGGAGCTGGGAGATAAAGCTGGGAGCTTGGATTGGTGTATCCCAGATCCCATGAGCTTGTTTACTCCATCTTCCCCTCCAGGGTTATCCATCCCTCCACCCATCCAGTCACCATCTGCCTTCATCCACCCACCTCTAGCTCTCCAATCACCTCCATCCATCTACCCACCCACCCATCCACACATTCACACACCTCCATCCACATCCATCCATGGATCCATCCATCCATCCATCCACCCATATAGCTCCATCCACACATCCATCCATGTCCATCCATCCATCCACCCACCCATCCACACATTCACACACCTCCATCCACATCCATCCATGGATCAATCCATCCATATATCTCCATCTACACATCCATCCATGTCCATCCATCCATCCACCCACCCATCCACACATTCACGCACATCCACCCACACATCCATCCATATCCATGGATCCATTCATCCACGCATTCACACACCTCCATCCACACATCTATCCATGTCCATCCATCCCTCCATCCATCTACATCCATCCATCCATGCCCATCCATCCACCCACCCATCCACATATTCATACACACCCATCACACATCCATCCACATCCACCCATGGATCCATCCAGCTACATATTCATACACCTCCACCCACACATCCATCCATGTCCATCCATCCATGTCCATCCATCCATGTCCATCCATCCATCCATCCATCCATCCATCCATCATCCATCCATCATCCATCCATCCATCCATCCATCATCCATCCATCCATCCATCCATCCATCCATCCATCCATCCATCATCCATCCATCATCCATCCATCCATCCATCCATCCATCCATCCATCCATCATCCATCCATCATCCATCCATCCATCCATCCATCCATCCATCCATCCATCCATCCATCATCCATCCATCATCCATCCATCATCCATCCATCCATCCATCATCCATCCATCCATCCATCCATCCATCCATCCATCCATCATCCATCCATCCCCCATCCATCTCCATCCCCCATCCATCCATCATCCATCATCCATCCATCATCCATCCATCATCCATCCATCCATCCATCATCCATCCATCATCCATCCATCCATCCATCCATCCATCCATCCATCCATCCATCCATCATCCATCCATCCCCCATCCATCTCCATCCCCCATCCATCCATCATCCATCATCCATCCATCATCCATCCATCATCCATCCATCATCCATCCATCCTCCATCCATCCATCCATCATCCATCCATCCATCCATCCATCATCCATCCATCATCCATCCATCCATCCATCCATCCATCCATCCATCCATCATCCATCCATCCCCCATCCATCTCCATCCCCCATCCATCCATGTCCATCCCTCCATCCGTCCCTCCCCACCCACCCCATTAACCCACCCCGTCCCCACCCCGTGCCCACCCCGTGCCCACCCCGCTGTCCCCTGGCGCACCCGGAAGCGGGGGTGGGATCTCCTGGCCATGGCCACCCTGGCGTAGTGGCTGATGGGCCTCTTGTAGCCCACGGCCGAGGTCGGGCGCCGCTTCATCTGGGAGCTGCTCCTGGAGCACACGGAGGGGCATGTGACCAACAGCGCCCCAGGGACCACGCGGGGCTGGGCTTGGAGGGGATTCACACCCACGGGCACCTACAGGAGTCACCCAGCCCTGGGGCCACTCCTGTGCATTGGCAGGGACAGGGACAGTGCCCTGGGGACAGGGACACAGGGGTGTATCCTGGGGACAGGGACTATACCCTGGGGACAGGGACACAGAGACACAAGGACAGTGCCCTGGGGACAGGGACACAGGGATGTATCCTGGGGACAGGGATGGGGACACAGGGACTGTACCCTGGGGACAGGGACACAGGGACTGTACCCTAGGAACAGGGACACAAGGACACAGGGATGTACCGTGGGGACAGGGACAGGGACAGGGACACAGGGACACAGAGACAGGGACACAGGGACATACCCTGGGGACAGGGACAGGGACACAGGGACACAGGGACATAGGGACATACCCTGGAGACAGGGACAGGGACACAGGGACAGGGACACAGGGACACAGGGACAGGGACACAGGGACACCGGACGCACCCTCCGGCGGGAACCAGCGGCTGGAATTTCCACTGCTCCTCATCACCGTCGAAGTACAGGCGGTTCATGATCTTGTTCTTCTCCTCGGGAGGGATGAAATTCTCGATGATCAAATACCTGAGGGATGGAGCAGGAGCAGGAGAGGAAGGGGTTAACGTGGCAGGAGACAGAAAACAGGCACAGAGGGAGGGGAAAGGCAGGAAGAGAAGGAGACAGGGCAGGGAGAAGAAACATCCGGAGGATGAAAATGTGATGGAAGGGAGAGCTTGAAGGAACAGATGCAGCCATGGAAAAGGGAGAGGCAGGAGAGGACGGCATCAGAGAGGAGCCCAGGAGCTCTGGGGCTCCAGGCAGCACCAGGACCCTTCCTTCCCCTCCTGCCGTGTCTGCTCCTCCACTGCCCAGCCTGAAAATCAAGGGAAGCTCAGCAATGCCAAGTGGACCCCAGGGGGAATCTTTTCTCCTGTGTTTTTTGGGCAAGTGGAGCAGCTGTCAAAAACTGTTTTGAGGCAAGGAGTTGCACCAGTGAGCTGTGGCTTCCAGTCAGAACCATGCTGGAGGAGAGAAGGGGCAAAACTGGAGAGGGAATTCTGTTTGTAGTGAAGCTGCTTCACCCTGCAAACGCTGCAGTGCTTGTAAATAGCTGGGGGGTTACAGAGCTGAGAGAGAGAGAGAGAGAGAGAGGAGTGTTTGAAGTGAGAACAAACCCCCGGGGGCTGCGGAGCTGCAGCTGCAGCTGCGGGAGGCTCCCGGAGGGAAAACTCTGCCAGGAGGGAGCCAGGAGCTCCAGGGAGGGAAAACTCTGCCAGGAGGGAGCCAGGAGCTCCAGGGAGGGAAAACTCTGCCAGGAGGGAGCCAGGAGCTCCAGGGAGGGAAAACTCTGCCAGGAGGGAGCCAGGAGCTCCAGGGAGGGAGGGAAAACTCTGCCAGGAGGGAGCCAGGAGCTCCAGGGAGCTGGGGCCACCCTGAGTCCCCAGAGCTGCTGTCCCTTTGAGGACACTCTGGGGGCCGGAGCAGGTCACCAGGGGTGGCCTCGGGGGTCACCTCCCAGGTTCAGCCACAGCCAGGGTTTGTGCTGGAACATTTTCTGGTTTTTCCCCTTTTCCCAGCAACTCTTGGACGCCCCCTGTGCTGCTGCCCCCAGTACCACACCTTGTGCCATCTCTGACACCTGGGCAGGGCTCGGCTGTCCCTGTCTCTGGGTGGGGTCAATCCCTCCAGTTCTGTACCCACTCTGAGCCTCTGAGCCCCCCAACCCTGCTCTGAGCACCCCAAACCTGTTCTAACACCCCAATCCTGCTCTGAGCCCCCCAGCCCAGCTCTGCACACCCATTTCTTCATGGCCACCTGGTCCAGGGGACCCCCAAGCCCCTCACCAACACCCCAACACCTACTTGAGCTTCAGCTCCCTCGTCTGCTCGTTCTGGGCCTCCTCCAGGTCCTGGCGCACGCGGATGTACTCATCGTGCTGGTCCTGGATCTCAGCCTTCACCGCCTGCAGCTTGGCATAGAGCTGGGAGGGGACAGCAGCACCTCAGCCCTGTCCCCAGGAGGGACCTCCTCGTCCCTGTCCCCACCTGCCACGCTCTCACCTTCTTGAGCTTCTTGGTTTTGATCTCCACCTCCTGCTGCAGGGACGTGTAGGTCTCGCGCAGCTCCATGGTCTCCTCGTCCCTCAGCAGCATCTCCTGCTGCATCTCCCGCTCCCGGCGTTTCTGTGGGGCAGGGACACGGCTGGGACCAGCATGGGGACAGGGAGGACACCCCCAGGACACCCCCAGGACGCCCCCAGGACACCCCCAGGACAGCCCTGTCACCCCCTCCCTGGTACCTGCTCGGCGATCTCCTGCCGCCTCAGCTCCAGCATCTTCTGCTGCTCGTTGGTGTGGTCCACGATGGTCCTGCCCCCGATCAGCAGCTTGCTCTCCATGGCCTGCAGGGGACAGGGGGACAGGGCAGGGGTCAGGGCTGCCATCCCCACCCCTGCCCGGGGGCTTTGCCCCATGCCACCCTCACTGGGTGTGACCCACATCCCTGATTGTGTGGTCACCCCTATTCCTGATCCCTGCTGGTCACTCCTACCCCTGATCCCTGTCCCCAGCCCTGATCCCTGGTGGTGACCCCCATCCCTGATGGTCACCCCCATCCCTGATCCCTGTCCCCATCCCTGATCCCTGGTGGTGAACCCCATCCCTAATCCCTAATGGTCACCCCCATCCTTGATCCCTGTTCCCATCCCTGATCTCTGTCCCTGATCCCTGATCCCTGTCCCCATCCCCGATCCCTGTCCCCATCCCCGATCCCTGTCCCTATCCCCGATCCCTGTCCCCATCCCTGATCCCTGTCCCCATCCCTGATCCCTGTCCCCACCCCTGGTCCCTGTCCCCAGCCCTGCTCTCAGGGATGTGGGAGGTTCAGTGTCCCTCTGCTCAGAGCCCTGCTGCTGAGGAGGAGGAGGCTGTTCATGATTAGATTGGACATTGGGAACAATTCCCACCTGGAAAGGGCTGCCCTGCCCTGGCACAGCTGGGACTTCAGGGATGGGATGGGATGGGATGGGATGGGATGGGATGGGATGGGATGGGATGGGATGGGATGGGATGGGATGGGATGGACAGCAGCTGCAGGCCAGACCCTGCCCCATCGGGCTGGCACACAGAAATGCATAAACACACACATAAACATACACAAATACACACACAAATGGGCTGTGCACACAGAAATGGGGCTGTGCACACATAAACACACACAAATACACACAAGTACACACACACACACAGGGGCTGTGCACACAGAAATGGGGCTGTGCACACATAAACACACACAAATACACACAAGTACACACACACACACAAGGGCTGTGCACACAGAAATGGGCCTGTGAACAAGAAATGCACAAACACACAAACATACACACAGGGGCTGTGCGCACAGAAATGCACAAACACACAAACACACAAATATACACACAGGGGCTGTGCACACAGAAATGCCAAATACACACACACAGGGAGCACATCCTGTGCCAGGCTGAGCACGTTCACACACACATTGGTATGTGTGGGAGCACCAGGTGTCTGTGCACACCATGTGTGTGTGTATGTGCACACTCTGTGTGTGTGTGTGTGTGTGTGTGTGCACTGTGTGTGTGTGTATGTATGTGCACACCGTGTGTGTGTGTATGTGCACACTGTGTGTGTGTGTGTGCACTGTGTGTGTGTATGTGCACACCGTGTGTGTGTATGTGCACACTGTGTGTGTGTGTGTGCACTGTGTGTGTGTATGTGCACACCGTGTGTGTGTGTATGTGCACACTGTGTGTGTGTGTGTGCACTGTGTGTGTGTATGTGCACACTGTGTGTGTGTGTGTGCACTGTGTGTGTATGTGCACACTGTGTGTGTGTGTGTGCACTGTGTGTGTATGTGCACACTGTGTGTGTGTGTGCACACCGTGTGTGTGTACGTGCACACCGTGTGTGTGTATGTGCACACTGTGTGTGTGTATGTGCACACCATGTGTGTGTGTATGTGTGAGTGCACTGTATTATGTGCACACTGTGTGTGTCCATGTACACACTGTCTGTGTATGTGCACTCTGTGTGTATTTGCACACTGTGTGTCTATGTGCATACTGTGTGTGTGTACGTGCACACTGTGTGTGTCTATGTGCACACTGTGTGTCTATGTGCACACTGTATGTGTACGTGCACACTGTATGCGTGTGTCTATATGGACGTTGTGTGTCTGTGTGCACACTGTGTGTGTGTATGCACTCTGTGTGTGCCTGTGTGTGTGTATGTGCACACTGTGTGTCTATGTGCACACTGTGTGTGTGTGTACATGCACAATGTATGTCTGTGTCTGTGTGCACACTGTGTGTGTATGCACTCTGTGTGTGTCTGTGTGTGTATGTGCACACTGTGTGTGTCTATGTGCATATTGTATGTGTGTGTTTATATACACAGTGTGTGTGTGCACTCTGTGTGTGTGTGCACACTGTGTCTGTGTGCACATGTCTGTGTATTTGTGTGTGTGCACACTCTGAGTCTGTGTGCACACTGTGTGTGCACTCTGTGTGTGTGTCTCTATGTGCACACTGTATGTATGTGTGTTTATGTGCAGTGTGTGTGTGCACACTCTGTGTGGGAACACTGTGTGTGTATGTGCACACTGTGTGTATTTGTGTGTGTAAGTGCCCACTGTGTATGTGTGCACACTCTGTGTGTGTATTTGTGTGTGTGTTTGCACACTCTGTCCATGTCCATGTTCACACTCTCTGTGTGTGTATTTGTGTGTGTGTTTGCACACTCTGTCCGTGTCCATGTTCACACTCTCTGTGTGTGTATTTGTGTGTGTGTGTGCACACTGTCTGTGTCCATGTGCACACTCTCTGTGTGTGTATTTGTGTGTGTGTGTGCACACTCTGTGTGTGTCCATGTGCACACCATGTGTGTGTGTATTTGTGTGTGTGTGCACACTGTGTCCATGTGCACACTCTCTGTGCGTGTATTTGTGTATTTGTGTGTGTGTGCACACTCTGTGTCCATGTGCACACTCTGTGTATGTATTTGTGTGTGTGTGTGTATTTGTGTGTGTGTGTATTTGTGTGTCTGTGTCCATGTTCACACTCTGTGTGTGTGTGTATTTGTGTGTGTGTGTGCGCACTCTCTGTGTGTCCATGTGCACACCATGTGTGTGTATTTGTGTATGTGTGTCCATGTTCACACTCTGTGTGTGTGTGTATTTGTGTGTGTGTGTGCACACTCTCTGTGTGTCCATGTTCACACTCTCTGTGTATTTATGTGTCTGTGTCCATGTTCACACTCTGTGTGTGTGTGTATTTGTGTGTGTGTGTGCACACTCTATGTCCATGTTCACACTCTCTGTGTGTGTATTCATGCCCTGCAGCCCTGCTCCCATGTCAGGGTGTCCATGGGGGACAAATGGGGGGGACACCCTGTGCCCCCCATGGCTGCACCTCAGGGGTGCCAGCAGGGACAGACCCAGATGTCCCCAGGACACCTCACACAGCTTCAAAACTCAATGTCCCAGCCACAGAGACAGCTCAGCCACCACCTCTGCAATGTCCCCTCTGCCACCAGCACGTGGCCACCCTCACTCCCTGGGCACAGCCCTTGTGTCCCTCTGGCCCCCCAGACCCAGGGGATCTGCTCCTCACAGGGCCTGCTCCCCTCCCCACTGCCATGGCCACAGCCCTGGGGGACAGCAGGGCCACCAGGCCACCCCAAAGGCGGTGCCAGCACCGGGGGGGCACACGGTGGTCATGGTGCTGCTGTCACCTGTCCCTGGGCAGGGGTCTCCATGGGGGTGCTGTGCACAGACTGGGGGCTCTGGCAAACCTGTGGCCCCCATCCCCACCCACACCTGCCTGGGGCAAGGCTCTATTTCCATGCCATTCCCCCCAGTTGTCCCCTTCCAGCTGCAGGGGATGCATTGTGGGTTCTGGGGGAACCCAGGGGACACCCCCACAGCTGTGCCAGTAGCACCCAGGGGACACCCCCAGAGCTGTGCCAGCAGCACCCAGGGGACACCCCAGAGCTGTGCCAGCAGCACCCAGGGGACACCCCCAGAGCTGTGCCAGCAGCCCCAGCACCCAGGGGACACCCCCAGAGCTGTGCCAGCAGCACCCAGGGGACACCCCAGAGCTGTGCCAGCAGCACCCAGCACCCAGGGGACACCCCACAGCTGTGCCAGCAGCCCCAGGGGACACCCCACAGCCGTGCCAGCAGCACCCAGCACCCAGGGGACACCCCACAGCTGTGCCAGCAGCACCCAGGGGACACCCCCAAAGCCTTGGGTGCCCCAGCCAGCGCCCCTGACCCTGGGGATCCCTCCCTCCTCCCTTTGGATGGGTGCCCCAGGTTGGGTGCTCTGCTGGGGGCTGACACCCCCAAGGGCAGCCCCCCACCCGGTCTGTGCCATCCCCTGCCAGGGCTGGGGACACTGGGGTGCCAGGGGCCCCTCAGCCCTTCTCCTCCAAACCCAGTTCTTGGTCCCAGTTGCTCCCCTTGATGCTGAGTGTCCCCTGGGGACCCTGCTGGGGCACAGGATGGGGACAAGGTGGGTGCTGGGACAATGATGCCACTGCCATCCCCTCCCTGACACCATCCCTGCCAGATTAAGAGGTTTCTCAGTGCCACTGTTTCCTCCCTGCCAGGGCATTGATTCCCTCTAAGGAGGAGACTCCCAATCTCCTTTAGCACTAAGCCTCTCCCAGGAACTCATTTCCGGCACCCAAAGAACTTCCCAGGCCTTTCCCTCCCGCTGACCTTGGCCTCAACCCCTGGCACGGCCCTTGGGAACAGCCACACCCCATACCCAGCTCCCCTAGGCACAGCCCCTCGGCCTGGGCACACATCTGGGCAGCCAGGAGCACATCTGGGCACCCAGGAGCACATCTGGGGGTCTAGGAGCACATAAGGGCACCCAGGAGCACATCTGGGTGCCCAGGAGCATATAAGGGCACCCAGGAGCACATCTGGGTGCCCAGGAGCACATAAGGGCACCCAGGAGCACATCAGGGCAGCCAGGAGCACATCTGGGGGCCCAATGCACATCTGCTGGGGCAGGCTGACCCCACCTCTCTGAGCCCCATGTCCCACATGTCCCAGCTGGGTGGCAGAGGCAGAGCCCACACCCAGCAGTGTGACAATAAGGCAGGGTGCAGTGTGTCACCCGTGGGGAGAGGGGCACCCTGTGTCCCCCTGTCACCTCAGCTCTCTTTGCCATGGTCACTACAGAGCCAGTGGCTCCTTGCCCGGCCCCACAGTGTGGCAAAGCTGCCCACGAGCACCCTGAGGCCACCCAGTGTCCCCACAGTGTCCCACGGGCTGTGCCCCTCTGGCACAGGGGGATTTGTGCTCACTGAGGTGACACCTCTCTGCTGTCACTGTTCTGGGCCCCCACAGTCAGAGGGTCCCTGTGTGCAGAGCAGCCCCAAAGGCCACCAAAAGGGACATGGTGTCATCTTGCCTCCGGCCCTGCCTGGTTACTCAGCAGTTCCAGGACACACAGTGGCCCTGAGCCAGCCCTGCTGAGCCAGACAGGGACACTGTGCTGGACAGCTGCCAGCCCAGCCCAGCCTGCACCCCACAGCCTGCACCCCACAGCAATGGGGGATGGCTGCAGAGACCCCTGGGCCAGGCATCCTGCAGTGCCAGGACACTTGGCACGGGACACTTGTCACGGGACACCCGCTGTGCCAGCCAGCAGCCCACGGCTGTGCCCCGGTGGCACGTCCCAGTGCCATCCCACGCTCTCTGTGCGGGCACCCAGGCACGGTCACGCATCCCTGGGCACAATCACACATCCCTGGGCATGGCCACGTGTCCCTGGGGCTGCAACAAACACCAGCCTGGGCATGGGAGAGGGTCCAGACCCCTCCCCAGCCCTGGCACCCCGGGCATGTCCCCACCAGAGGGTCCCTCCCTGCCTGGGCTCCAGCCCAGTCCCTGCACCCAGTGAGTGCCAGCCAGAGGGGCTGTGCCAGAGGGGCTGTGCCACGGGGGCCATGCTGAGTGTGATGCCAAGGCTCCCTCCCCACTGGAGGTCCCAGCCCCAAGACCACCACAGGCAGGGGGCAGGGGTCAGGACCCCGCAGTGCAGTGGGGACAGGAGCAGGGCTGGGGCAGGGGGAGGTGCAGCCCCAGAGCCCGGCACAGCTGGGGCTGTCGTGGCCCCTCTCACCCTCAGCACCAAAGCCCTGAGCATCCCTGAGCCAGCAGTGGTGCCCCCATCCACCCTGCCCTGGCTCAGGGTGCCAGGAAGGGTTTGGGGTGGGGAGGGGGATGGGGTCCCTGCAGAGCTGCCAGGCCCTGCCCATCCCCACAGAGCCCACTGGGAGCCAGGAGCTGCACACAACTGGGGGCATGTGGGGACAGGTGCCCCATGTCCCCAGCTCCAGCCCTGGGCTCGCTCCCGAGGCCAGCAGGGACGAATCTGCAGCATCACTCCCATCACTCCCCCTTCCCACACCAGCTGCTTTGTTGTGCCGAAGGGGACAAGAGCTGAGCAAAGCACACCCGTGCCACAGTGACCCTCTCCCCTGTGGCCCTTCCCTGCCACTCCCTGCAGCTCCCACACAGGTCCCCACAGTGTCCCCACGCAGGTCTGAGGGCCAGCCAGAGCCTGGGGCTGCCCTTGGGGACCCTGCCTGGTCCCCTCACTTGGGAGGCTCCCTTGCTGGGCACACGGTGGGCACCTCCCTCAGGCTCCCTGCTTGGGATCCATTCCCACTCCACACCAGGGGCTGGGGGGCACGGCAGGCACCCCGGCCCCATTTGTCACCACCATGCTTGGCAACACAAACCTTGTACTTGATGGCCAGCAGCTCCGTGGCCTCCTGCTCCTTCCGCAGGTCCTCTATCATCTTCTCCTTCTCCTGGAGCAGCTTCTGCTTCTCCTCACTCACCAGGCTGTGGTCATCCTGGATAGCGGCTTTCTCCTCTTCCAGCCTCTCCTTCTGCTCCTTCAAGTAATTCTCCATGGTCTTCTCCAGGCCATCCTCATTCTCGTCCTCCCCTTCATTGTCCACGGTGCCCTCTCCATCCATTGCTTTCTTCCTCCGGCTGCTCCTCCTCCTCTTCTTGCCCAGCATCCCGCGTTTCTCCAGCTGGGCTTTCAGCCGCACGATCTCCTCCTGGAACTCCCGCAGCAAGGTGTCCTTGGGGTCCTCGTTCACCCGGGGCTTGTTCTTGATGTTCTTGGCCCTGTTGGCGAACCTGAGGGTGGAGAGGCTCTCGTCGTAGCTGTGCGAGGCCGGGCCCAAGGTGGCCACCATGATTGTCTTGGCGTTGCCCCCGAGGGAGTCCTGCAGCAGGCGGGTGAGCTTGGAGTCCCGGTAGGGGATGTGCGTGCTCCGGCCGTCCACCAGGGCCGAGATGACGTTGCCCAGGGCCGAGAGGGAGAGGTTGATCTTGGAGGCCTCCTTGGGGCGCTCTCCGTGGGCCCCCATTTTGTTCTGGCGCTCGCTGCCGGCCAGGTCCACGAGGTTGAGCTTGCCCACGCGGATGTGCTCCTCGCCGTCCGGGCCCGTCTCGCTGCACTCGATGGTGATCAGGAAGATGGCGTGGGAGCGCGAGCTGTGCTCGTTCATGTTGGTGCTGCCCACGGAGCGCGTCTGGCTGCCCAGGTTCATCACGTGCTCGATCTCCTTGACGTTCTTGGTCACGAAGGACGAGAGGTCCTTGATGTACACCCCGGTCTCGGGGTTCTCCTTCAGCTCCAGCTTCTTGCTCTGGTCCTTGGCGAGGAGGTCCCTGATCTCCTCCTGGTAGATCTCCAGGTACGAGGCCCTCACCAGGTACTGCTGGTTCTGCGAGCGGGAGATGTGGGTGAAGATGTGCTCGAAGGCGCTGGGGATGATGCCGCGCTTCTCGGGCTCCGCCCAGGCGCCCTGCATGGTGTAGGTCTTGCCGGTGCCGGTCTGGCCGTAGGCGAAGACGGTGCCGTTGAAGCCCTGCAGCACCGAGTCGATGAGCGGCCGCACGGTCTCATCGTAGAGGTCGGCCTGCTTGGAGCTGGCGTCGTACACGGCGTCGAAGGTGAAGGTCTTGGGCAGCTCCCCGGGGGCGGCGCGGGGGTTGCGGATGCTCACCTGGCCCAGCTTCACGTCCAGCTCCAGGACGCGCTCGTATCCCGCCGCCTCCTCCCGCCGGCTCATGGGCCGGCACCGGGCCACCACCCGGAGCGCCTCGCAGCCGCTGCGGGGCTTACCGGCCATGGCGGCGGCGGGCGGGGCCGGCGGCGCAGCGGGGCTGGGGGGCTCAGCCGCGCCGCCCCCGCGGCATCCCCGGGGCCGAGGCCGGGGCCGGGGCCGGGGCCGGGGCGGAGCGGGCGGGGCCGGGGCGGGGGGCGCGGGCGGCCGGGGCGCGGCGGGGCGGCCCCGCCGGGCGCTCGCTCATGGCAGCGCGGCCGCTGCGCCCCGCCCGGTGCGGGGATGGGGCGGGCGGGGCGGGCCGGGGCGGGGCGCGGCCGCGCCGCGATTGGTGCGCGCTCCCGCAGCCGCGCCCGCGCCCCCCCCCGAGCGCGCTCCCGCGGCCGCGCATCCGCAGGCGCGGGCGGGAGCGCCGCCGGCCCCCCCGGGCACGCCGGGAGCTGTAGTGCGGCCTTTGTGCTGAGCCCGGGATGCGGGGATCGGGGACAGCACCGGGGTGCGGAATGAAGGATGCGGGACAGGGATGCTGCATCGGAATGCAGAACCGGCTTGTGGGATCGGGATGTGGGATGAAGGATGCGGCGTTGGAATGCGGGATTGGGATGTGGGATGAAGGATGCGGGTCTGCCGAGCTGGGCTGGGATGCAGGATTAGGAGATGCAGGATACAGAATGCAGGACTGGGATATGGGATCACAAATGCAGGAATGGCATGCAGGATGCAGGACTGGGATACGGGATGAAGGATGCAGGATTGGGATGTAGGACAAAGGATTGGAATGTAGGACTGGGATGCTGCACTGGAATGCAGGACTGGGGTGTGGGATGAAGGATGCAGCGCTGGGGTCCGGTGCTGGGATGCAGCACTGGAATGCAGGACTGAGGTTCTGGGCTGGGATGCTGCATTGGAATGCAGGAGTGGAATGCAGGATGAAGGATTCCAGATGAAGGATCGAGGATGAGGGATGCAGGTCTGGGATGTGGGATACAGGATGTGGGCTGCAGAATGCAGGATGCAGGATTTGTGTCCGTGATGGAGAGTGTTTTTGTGGCATGCAGGATGTGGGATGCAGGGTGCAGGGTCCATGATGGGGGATCAGGGATGTGGGATTGGGATGCAGGACAGAGGCAGGAGAGGCAGGAGAAGCAGGGGATGCCCAGTCCCATCCCATCCCTGTGGGGCCGAGGCAGGGTCACCCTGTGGAGTCTGGGGGTCCCTGGGCTGTCCCAGGCTCTGTGACCCCTTGCAGCCAGGCATGGCTGCTGCATCCCAGGGGGAATAATCCCAGTGCCTTATGGGGCTGCGGGGGGAGATTAAACATTCTTGTGGTTAATCAAGTCTGAGCAGCCACCCGCTCCTTCCCCAGAACCAGAGATTATCCCATAATTAATTAATTAGGGTATTTGCTGCCGTACACAGGCCTGCCTGGTGCTGTCTGAGTCCTCCTGCTCCAGGAGGAGCTTCCAGGCAGGGACAGTCCCCTCCCCAAAGACACAGCCCCAGCCATGGAGGGGGACCAGGGTGATGGGGAGGGTGAAGAGGGATGGAGGGGGATGGAGGGGGTTGGAGGGGGTTGGAGGGGGATGGAAGCTTCAGGGGAGGCAGGGTGGGAGGGGGGATGCAGCAGTGATGGAGGGGGGTGGAGGGAGGATGACAGGGATGATGCAGGGGGATGGACAGATGGAGGTGATGGGGAAGGTAATAAATGGAGGGGGCAATAGAGGAGGATGGAGGGGGCAATGGGGGTGGAGTTGAGGGATGGAGGGACAATGGAGGGGATGGAGGCTGTTATGGAGAGGGATGAAGGGAGTGATGGGAAGGTGGAGGAGGTAGAGAATGGGATGGGGGGACAATGGGGGCACTGCTGGGGCCACCTTTCCTTGTCTGCCCTTTCCCAGGGAAGGCTCCATCCCCAGGGTGCTGCAGCTGGGCCCTGTCAGGGGCACAGCCACCGGGTGGGGACAGCCCCCATGGCACAGCACAGACCTGGCGGTGCTGTCCCCACTGTGGCCCCACATCCTGGCTCCCCACCAAGGCCCTGTGCCATGGGCAGGGACCCAGGTGCTGCCTGTGGCACTGTCCCCGTGTCCCCAGGGATGAGTTCAGGGCCACCATAGCCCCACTCCCCTGGCAGACCCTGGCTGTCCCCAGATCCCCTGCAGGACAGGCAGGTGGGTGACACACAGGAGCAGGAGGATGTACAGGCAGGGCATGAGACATGGCAGGGACAGAAGGCACATGTCAGGAGCAGGGACATGTAGGGACAGTGTGACATGTCAGGTGGGGTAACCTGTAGGGACACAGTGACATAGGGAGGGTGAGGTGACATGCAGGGACAGTGTGGCATGTCAGGTGGGGTAACCTGTAGGGACACAGTGACATAGGGAGGGTGAGGTGACACGCAGGGACACAGTGCCAGGTGGGGCAGGGTGCCAGGTAGGCCAGGGTGACACAAAAGGACAGTCCTTGCCCACAGGTGTCAGCAGAGCACCAGAGTGTGCTAGTGGTGGCCAGTGGCCTCTGGCCTTGGGGCTGACCCTTGGGACTGTTCCTGGGGTGGTGGGGCTCAGGGGACAGTGAACCCCCATTGTGGCCATCCTGGGCCAGCCCGGGGATGCCTGGGCAGGGACTCTGTGGGGCAACCACCCCACAGAAGCCCCCTAAGCCCCTTCTGTGTATGGGAGGGGTATGCTGTGTGTATGGTGCCTGTGGGGGATATGGTGTTTATGGGGTGATATTGTGTCTGTGGGGTGATATGGGGTGATATGGTGTGAATGAGGACATGGTGTCTATGGGGTGATATGGTGTCTATGGTGTGTATGGTGTCTATGGGGTGATATTGTGTCTGTGGGGTGATATGGGGTGATATGGTGTGAATGAGGACATGGTGTCTATGGGGTGATATGGTATGTATGGGGATATGGTGTGTGGGGGGTGATATGGTATGTATGGGGTGATGTGGTGAATATGGAAACATGTCATGTATGGGGACATGCTGTGTATGGGGTGATATGGTGTGTATGGGATGATATGGTGTCTATGGGGTGATATGGTGTCTATGGGGTGATATGGTGTGTATGGGGTGATATGGTGTGTATGGGGACATGCTGTCTATGGGGTGATATGGTGTGTATGGGGGGATATGGTGTCTACAGGGACATGCTGTCTATGGTGTGTATGGTGTGTATGGGGTGATATGGTGTGTATGGGGTGATATGCTGTCTATGGTGTGTATGGTGTCTATGGTGTGTATGGTGTCTATGGGGTGTATGGTGTCTATGGGGTGATATGGTGTGTATGGGGTGACATGCTGTCTATGGTGTGTATGGTGTCTATGGTGTGTATGCTGTCTATGGGGTGTATGGTGTCTATGGGGTGATATGGTGTCTATGGGGTGATATGGTGTCTTGGGGTGATATGGTGTCTATGGGGTGATATGGTGTATGGGGTGATATGCTGTCTATGGGGTGATATAGTGTCTATGGGATGATATGGTGTCTCTGGGGTGATATGGTGTCTATGGGGTGATATGGTGTCTATGGGGACATGGTGTCTATGGTGTGTATGGTGTCTATGGGGTGATATGGTATCTATGGGGTGATATGGTGTCTATGGTGTCTATGGTGTCTATGGTGTGATATGGTGTCTGTGGGGTGATATGGTGTCTATGGGGTGATATGGTGTCTATGGTGTGTATGCTGTCTATGGGGTGATACGGTGTCTATGGGGTGATATAGTGTCTGTGGGGTGACATGCTGTCTATGGGGTGATATGGTGTCTATGGTGTGTATGCTGTCTATGGGGTGATATGGTGTCTATGGTGTGTATGGTGTCTATGGTGTGTAGGGTGTCTATGGGGTGATATGGTGTCTATGGGGTGATATGGTGTCTGTGGGGTGATATGGTATCTATGGGGTGATATGGTGTCTATGGTGTGTATGCTGTCTATGGTGTGTATGGTGTCTATGGGGACATGCTGTCTGTGGGGTGATATGGTATCTATGGGGTGATATGCTGTCTATGGTGTGTATGCTGTCTATGGGGTGATATGCTGTCTATGGGGTGTATGCTGTCTATGGGGTGTATGCTGTCTATGGGGTGATATGCTGTCTATGGGGTGTATGCTGTCTATGGTGTGTATGCTGTCTATGGGGTGATATGGTGTCTATGGTGTCTATGCTGTCTATGGTGTGTATGCTGTCTATGGTGTGTATGCTGTCTATGGGGTGATATGCTGTCTATGGGGTGTATGCTGTCTATGGGGTGTATGCTGTCTATGGGGTGATATGCTGTCTATGGGGTGTATGCTGTCTATGGGGTGTATGCTGTCTATGGGGTGATATGGTGTCTATGGTGTGTATGGTGTCTATGGGGACATGCTGTCTATGGGGTGATATGGTGTCTGTGAAGGGTCCTGGTGGCACAGCTGCTGCCATCCCAGTGCAGCTGTTGTTCTCATGTGTTGGCACATGGGAATGGAGCACCTGCAGGGGTGGGTTGCCAGATCCTGAGCTGGGGTGACACTGAGCTGCCTGGGGCAGGGGACACGCTCTGAGTGCCACATAGGGCAGGGTGACATTTGGGGCCTGCATGTGTCCCAAAGTGCTTCAGCAGGGCTGGGGGAGCCCGGTTCCTGTGACCTTGGTTTTCCTCTTCCTCCCCATCAGGAGTTCCCACATCCTACAGCCGACCTGGGACACCCCAACTGTCCCTTGGGCATTGTGGCTGCTGCCAGGACAACCCAGATACCCCTGAGAGTATCCAGCCCCTGGAAACCTGGTGGGCTTTGGGTCCCTGCAGCAATCCCACCACAGCCAACACTGGGCCACCATGGCCACTTTTGAGACACTAGTGCCAGACCTGGGCCACCAAGGGTATCCCTGGACAGCACAGTCACCTCTGGGACACTGCAGCCATCCCTGGGTACTGTGGACACCCCAATTCCCAGCCCTTGTGGGTGACTGGAGGGATCTGGGGGGGCTGTGGCCCCATGTACCCTGTAGTCCCTGGGACACTCGACACCCTTGGCTGGCAGTGAGGGTGGCATGAGACCTTGGGACCTCCTT